GAACAAAGAGAGTATTGTTAAATTAACCAGGTATTAATAGTTAATTAAGAATTGTATTGCTTTAATATGATAGTCTCAGACTTTGGAACAGAAGGTTAAAAAAGGAATAAAGATGCAATGTCATGTAACTAGGGAGTTCTGGATTGGAAAGGAACTTCACATTCCTTTCAATTCTCGTTCCCCAGACACCCATTTTATAGATAAGGAAACCAAGGCACAGAGGTTGAGAAGCCTTCCCGAGGTCTCATGGCACTACCCGCAGCGGTCAGACTAGAATTTAGCTCTCCTGCTTCCCAGCTCCTAGCACCTGTGACTACAATCCTTAAATTATGTCCATAATCCCATTTCTGCATTCCTACACCTATGTCTACAACCACCAAAGCTTATTTTCTGGTTCAATTGTCTCCTTTAGTAAAAATCAATGAGATGAATGCAATATCTTCCTTTCCCTTTCCAGTGTAGACAGGACCAACCACTCAGAGAACTGCCATCAACTTGATTCGGGGAGAGAGACCTTTTTCATTCACTTATCAAATATTTATCTGAGTTTTTACTTGTGCCCAAGAATTGTGCTAAACCCTGATAAAAAATCTGAGTGTTCAGAGGTTTCCTTCAAGTCATGGATATAGGCCAGTGATGACCATGTAGTTGGAGATGTTAGAGCAGTTATAAATAGATTGCAATGGAAGCTTAAGGGGATGGTATGACTAAGGAGCCAGGAGAAACTTGACAACAAATTCTGCTTCACCTAAACAAATTAAAGGAGACACAAATAAATGGAAAGACATTCCGTGTTCATGTATTGGAAGACTTAATATCATTCAAAATATCCATACTCCTCCAAGTGGTCTACAGATTCAATGTTCTCTCCATCAAATGGAGAGAACATTGAAAAATCCCAATGGCATTTTTTTTTTACAGAAATAGAAAAACAATCCTAAATTTCATATGGAACCACAAAATCTCCTTTATTTTAAAGTCAACTGATTATTAACTGATCAACTGTGTCTGTAAAATAATTCCCTGCAACACCTAAATTAGTGTTTGATTAAATAAAAGTACTGTAGCCTAGCCAAGTTGACGCATAAAACTGACCATCACAAAAGGATAATGAACAATAAGTTGGCATACCTTTCTTATAATGGGTTCCATGCAAATGTAAAATAAGAAGAGGATGGAGTAATGCAAACTCTCAAGACACATCTATCTATGCAATTCACAGACAGAGCTAAAGAGACCCAGAGACCATGCACACACTACTGTCTGTGCAGCCTCTTGCATGGGTTCAGTGAACATTTTCTCTCTGTTGCTTGGTGCGTTCATTGAGTTTCAGGGAATCTTAATAGTTTATAGTTTCAATCACAGAATGGGTTATTTTACACAGAGCAAATTAAGACCTCGATTCTGAACTTCTGCTTCCATTAAGAGGCAATATGGTATATTTGAAAATGTATCAGCTATGGCACCAGACACCTGGATTCAAATCCATCCTTGTCACTTTCTAGGTGTCCAGTCAAGTCACTTAATCTCTTTAAGCCTGGGAGTGGCAATTACCTATGACTGGTAATAATAGTATTGTCGTAGCAAGGTTACCATAAAGGATTAAAGATCATAAACCAAATGGCACGGGTTCAGAAAAGATGACCAGTTAAGAAAAGCTATGAACTTCTTTTAGTTCAAAGATTATCTAATGTTAGCTGAGTGGTCTTGGGAAACTTACTTTACTTCTCTGTGCCTCTGTTTCCTCATCCATAAAATGAGCATAACACTAAATTGTTCTGGGGATTAAATGAGCTGATATATATATTTTTTTCATATATAAAGTAAATATATATATAATAAATGCTCAGAACAACATCTGGTACACAGTAAGCACTATATATGGTTTAATTATGATAATTTGCTATTTGTGTGGTAGCTGTGAAATCAGGGAGGTGGGAAACCTGGATTTTAGTCCCAGCCCCACACTGGGTGAACTCACAGAAGCCACTTCACTTCTCTGCCATCATGGCTTTCTCTGTAAAATGAGGGAGTTGATTGGACCCTCTGTGGAGCTCAGACATGGTAAGACTGCATACTACACTCTGCTGTGAGATGCAGGAACTTGAGAAGACTTCTGGCTCACAGAGAGTTTCCAGCTGCTGATCTCTCACAGATCTGTCAAGGCTTCCTTATTGATTCACACCAAGAACCCTGCCTCAGTTTCAGTTTTTCTACAGGGCAGCCAATCTGTTTACTTTTCACCAAAATGTGTTCCTCTCTCAACCACATCAGAGCTGTCACAAGTCAGCTTCCTGGCACAGAGAGACGGAAAAAGTGTTTTTGTTTTTCTGCTTCACTGTGTCTTCCTTCCTTTAGGGTCCCTTCTGAGAAAGGTCAAAACAGACTTCTGCATCTGCCGTAATGAGAAATGCTAGCCAATCGAAGAAGCAGGGCCCATGTAAGCGACAGGGCCTGCCCCTGGGGGGGTGGGGGGCAGGACTAGAGTCCTATCAAGCCTGACTCCTCCTCCAGCCTGTGGAGAGTCCATGGTCACTCTCTCTCTGCCCCTGAGAGATAGCACATTACAAATGTCCTGAATGTTGTGCCTGGCAGGGAGAAGGAGGGAAAGTTACTAACTACAGCATGAGGGGACATCTAATAGTGGGCAAAAAAGGAGTGACATGTGGTTTTTGCCTAAGATTTCGCGACAAGCTGAAGTACTCTGTACATCCCCTCTTGCTTTTTCTATATTCCACTAGGACTAGGGAGGCAGGAGGAAGGGGATTCAACCTCTTCTCCAATGCAGAAGAGTGTTGAAAAGGCTGCTTCCACTTCTTTTCTCTCCTGTGCTTCTGCCCCCTTTGTCTCTTTATCTGCTCCTCAAGGTAGAAGACTATCTGAGTGTCAGCCTCAGGTGTCTCAGGGCTGTATTTACTACCAGGCAAAGTTAGGAGCCTTAAAGACAGGGTCCCAAGAACCACCCTTCTTTCTGTGTCCAGGCCCAGGTCATACGTGTGTAAAGAGGGAGAGGCAGTAAGCAGAGACTGGCAAACAAAGAGAAAAACCCCTGGTTGTTAGTGACTGCAGATCAATGGACAGTGTTCAACAACGTGATATTTACAATGCACATTCTGAGCCATTTTTCCAAATGGATAAATCATTGATTGGTTCCATCATCCATTGGAATAAATGAGGAAGAACTTCGTCCTACTTTGAATTAAAAAGGGGGTTCTCATCATTCCTACCAAACATTGCAGTGCTTAGCATTTCAACCAGAAAGAGCTAAGCCTTTCATTGACGTTATTTCGCAACCTCTATAACTCCAACTAATCTTAGCATCTCCAAATTAGAGGAAAACTCAAAGAACATCCCACCAAATCCTCTATAACATTGTCTACTTGACTTTCTCTACCACATTTTTGGGGCATAGTCCTGCAGTTTCTTCTTAAACATTTCCAACAATGAAACACTCACTCTTACACAAACAGATGACTTTATTTCTGGACAGGTGTAATTCCTGAGAAATACTTTTTTGGTTATTTCTTTGCAACTTCCTCACAAAATTTGTTTTCCCCCTTTTGGAGTCAGACAAAGTAAATTGAAATACCTTTTCCTATGACAGCGCTTTAAGTACTTAAATCGTTCTCAGACTGGGTTATGTGGTAGCAATCTCAGTGGCTAAGAACGGCAGTGATTTATTTCTTATAGATACAAATGTCCATCCTGGGTCACCTGGGGACTCTGCTGCACATTTCGCTCACTTAGAGACTCAGACTGATGTAGCAGATCCTATTAGTAGTTTACTTTTAGCATCTACCAATTGAGTAAACATGTAATGACCAAAAAAGCATAAATTGAATGGTTTCAACTGAATGTTATTTGTAATTCTCCAACTTCCTGGGGTCAAAGATTCATTTCAAAATCTAGATATCTTGAGTTCTACTTCCATGTACTGCAGAAGTTGACACCCTCCCCAGTGTTTCTGTGGGGTTCCACTCCTAGGAGTCATCTGTCCAGCTCTCTCTCCACAGCCCTGCTCCCTCAGTTTTAATCCCTATGGACGATATCACACTGCTGTCCCATCTGCTTGTCCCAAAACATGGACATAGCCCCTCACCTTTATTCTCCGAGTCACAACCAGCAAAATGTTGTTATGGGTGGCAGATTTACTAGAGTCTCAGGGATAACAGGAGAGGAGGAAGTAGAGAAGACACATGAGGGGAGAGATATCCAAATGACTTGACCTTGAAATTTAGACCTCACAGTTTCCAAAGTTCCTTACTTGTCTCTTACCTCTTCCTACTCCAGTATCAGGCCCATCTTCAGCCCTCTGATGAATCCTTGCCAAACTTCCTCTCAACCCACACCCCTGGTTTATGTCTCTAGTTGCAAAGGGAAAACTCAACTTGACATTACTTTATTCAGCAGAGCAGTGGAGCTCCCTTTATCTTAACCTCCTCCATTTTGATTTATTCTAATACAATCTCCTTCATAACCAAAGGAGTTATTAATATGTTTTCCAAGCAAAAGAATTATCTACCATAGATTCCACATTGAAAGAGAAAGCAAAAGTTGAGAAATGCGTTTTTCTTCAAGATGCCTTCAAAAAGAGGCGCCTGGGTGGCTCAGTTGGTTAAGTGTTCGCCTTCGTCTCAGGTCATGATCTCTGCGTCTTGGAATTGAGCCCCACCCCTGTTGGCCTCCCTGCTTAGAGGAGAGTCTGCTTCTCCCTTTCCCTCTGCCCCTCCCCACTGGTCATGCTTGTGCTCTCTCTGTCAAATAAATAAATAAAATTTTTAAAAAATTAAAAAATTAAATTAAATTTAAAACTTAATTTAAAAAAAAACTATAGAAACCAAAGGCATACTACATCCCACATGCCACACTCTAGGATTGTGGCATCTAGACCAGGCATCTTTCATCAGTTCTTCCTCATAAAGTTCATAATGCCGTCAGCTACTGTGGATGCATTCTTGACTTGTTGTTTTTTTTTATAAGATACTTCTTTCCTCTTACAGTGCATAGTGTGGGACTGGGACTCCAATGGCAAACACGACTTCATTGGAGAATTCACATCGACATTCAAGGAGATGAGAGGAGCAATGGAAGGCAAACAGGTAGGTGGTAAACCACACATGATATTTCGCCCAGACACTTCTCTCATGATGTGTCCTTAGCACCCACTACACATGGAACACCTAGAGAAGAGATATCAATATTTGATTAAATGTGACAAGTAGGAAACGTGGTGGGATTTGAGTACCTAGATTCTACTACTAACCCGACCAAGGTAACTAGTATGACCTTGGAAATGACACTGCCCCAGTGTGGTGCAGTTTCTCTATCAGTAAAACAGGTCAGAGGAGACTATTTCTAATTTCCTTTAGCTGTGGAGTCCTGGATAAGTGACTTAACTTCTCTGTGGCTCAGTTTTCTCACTTAAAAATGAAGGTGATAAGTGTACCTACCTAATAGAACTTTGTGAAGATTAAATGAGATAATCCGTGGTAGGCACTGAGCAGAGTGTCTAGCATGTAGCTAGCACTTCCCAAATATCTGCTTATGGTAGTACTATTCTTTCCATGACTTGGCAACATTAATTACACATTCACTACTTTGGAAAAATTATTGGGTTCCTCCAAATATTCATTCTGGCCACTAGATTTTAATTTGGCTCCACCATTTTACTCAACGCACTGGATACTGAGACATGGACCCAAACACTAGTACATAACAGGGGCATATAGGGATTTCATCGCATCACACAGAAACCTAAACCTCCTCTCCATTTCTCTCAGACACACATACATTCACATATCTATAAATTTATAGACATGGACATGGACCCTAACCATGTAACTGCTGTTCTTACCTGTTCATTGTTCACCTGTCCAATTTCTAGCCATAAAACCTGTATCTCTTTGCCTATGGGCTTTCTCTGGTGACTGGAGCCTGTTCTGCCTATGCCCACAGCAGGCTGAAGTATGAGGGGAGGTGTAGCTCCTTCCAGGGAGCAGCCCTCAACAAGTAACTAATAGGGGGTGAAGTATAAATACTCCAGCTCTCTTGCCCCGCAGGGGGCAGAACTCTGAGTGTGTCCTCTATGCAGTTTCCTAGAGCTCCCCAGCAGGAATCGGCCCTGGTTGCCCACAGTGGTAACTGACTTGCACACCTCTTTGACAGCCTGCACATCTCAATGCCCCACTCCTCAACTGGTGCTTCCTGGTATTACCTCCCAAATGAACTACTTACTTGCCTCAGGGGAACTCAAAACCAAAATACCTGACCTTCTTACTCTGGGGCCCACTGTCCCCATGGAACAGAAAAGAGTGACAGCTGAGCATTCAGTGGCTCTGAGAAAGGTCTTTCCCCTAGAGATAAGATCCTATACCTGACCTGGTCAGAAGTGCTGATTACAGAGGATGTCACAAATCATTTTTCATGTCTCTTCTTTCAGATATAAGGTCAAGATATACCTAGATTGGATGGGAATAAACATTCTTTAGAACTGGAAGCTTAATCTGAATCAGACCATTTGTCAAGTACTTATATTTGGTCTAGAAAATCAAGGGCAATTTTCCACGTAGTTCCCACAAAGCCTGTTGTATATGCTCTACTAAATATTCAGGATTGCAAACAACTTGTGTAACATGCAAAGACCTTCAGCACGAGCAAGCATGCAGCGGTTCAAGGCCACGGTCAAAACCAACACTGAATTGGGGCTCCTGGGTGGCTCTGTCAGTTAAGTGTCTGCCTTTGACTCAGGTCATGATCCCAGGGATTTGACCACATCTCATGTGGTCCTGGGATCAAGCCCCACGTCAGGCTCCCTGCCCAGCAAGGAGTCTGCTTCTCCCTCTCCCTCTTCCATTCTCTTGTGCTCTCTCTCTTTCTCAAATAAATAAAATCTTAAAAAAAAAAAAAACCCAACACTGAATTGCAAGTGAAGTCACACCCAGGATAACAAGATAGCCAGAGAAGATATTGTTCTGTTGAACCAGGCCCTACTGAGCTAATAAATTAATGAGTTATCAATACCACGTATTAGAGTTCTAAAAAGTTTCACAAAGTTGTGCCTTGTTCTCCTCTACAAGAAGAAATAGCCAAATCAATAAATGTGGGAAACATTTCATCTTTAGGTTCCTAAGAGAGTAGTACAAGTAAAATTATAGCATATATTATAAGTGAAGAGCACCAAAGTCTAATGCTTTCAAACAAACAGAAATGAATCTTTAAGTTCCACTGAGGAAATGAATCATATGCTATGTACTTTTCCATATCACCGAGATACCAGAAAGTTTTTATTTAGTCCAATCACTCAGCCCCATATGGGCACATATGCACTATAGGAAATGTTCTCTTATTTATTGATTCTACTAGTATTTATTACAGAACACCTACTAAGTGCCAAGTTCTACGTGTGTCATGACTGTGCATCAGAGTAGAATATAAACATGAATCAAATAAACAAAAAATAAAAATGTAATTACAGCTTTTGACAAATGCTATAAAAAAACTGAACAAGTTTTGGGATGCCTGGGTGGCTTAGTCGGTTAAGCATCTGCCTTCAGCTCAGGTCATGATCCCAGGGTCCTGGGTTCGAGTCCCACAACGGGCTCCTTGCTCAGCAGGGAGCCTGCTTCTCCCTCTGTCTGCCGCTCCCTCTGCTTATGCGCTCTCTCACACACAAATAAATAAACAAAATCTTTAAAAAAAACTGAAAAAGTTTAGTATAAAGGTGTGGTATTGGACAGATAAACTTAAATAATTAATTTGAGTCCCTTAACAATGAAAAGAAGCCAGCCATGTAACAAGCAAGGGAAAAGCAGGTAGGCTGAGGGAATAGCATTCCTCAGTCCTGAGTGAGGAAAGAGCTTGGTGTGATTAAGGATGTGGAGAGAGACCAGTGTATCTGGAGCAGAGAGTGTGGATGGGATATGCTCAAAGACAGAGGCAAGGGCCAAGAAAAGCACATTCTAATAGCTCGAAGAAAGGAGTATGGATTTTCTTCTAAATGTGGTAAGAGACAGTTTTGTGCTCCAGGATAGGAGCCACTAGCTACATGTGAGTGTTTTAGTCTTACTTTTAATTAATTAAAATTAAGTTTCAATTTCAATTCCTCAGCCACACAAGCCACACTCCAACTGCTCCTTAGCCTCATGTGGCTTCAATATTGTTTGTACAGATATAGAATACTTCCGTCATTGCAGAAAGTTCTCCTGGACAATGGTGCAAAGAGGTCCAAGCCAGAGAATGACATGACTGGTTTTAACTTTTTAAAAAATGACTCTGACCACCGTGTAGATAATTCATTATAGTGAGAGAAGACAGTGAAACAGATCTGTCAGGAAGCTACTACTGTAGGCAAGACAAGAGGTGATAATGACTTAGGTTCAAAAAGTGATGATGGAGGTGGAGAGAAGTGGAGTGATTTAAGATGGATTTTGGAGACAAGAGCTAAAAGACGTGTTGAGAGTTTGGGTGTGAGGGGGATAGATGAGTAAACCTTGGTGCCATTTCTTGAGTAAGGAAGTCTTGTTTCAGGGAGGTCCAGTTTGTAAGGAAAGTTCAAGAATGGGGCTGGGGAAACTGGAGGAGAGGCCTACCTGGGGATGTATTTTGGAGCCATCAACAAACAGGTGATTAATGTCAAGAGAATGGAGGATAGGGAGGGAGGATAGAGGAAGCTGGAACTGAGGAAACTCAGTAAGTAGAAACAGAGACAAAAAGAGGAGCCATGGGGGGGGCGGAGCAAGATGGCGGAGGAGTAGGAGACCTGGGTTTCGTCTGGTCTCAGGAATTCAGCTGAATAGGGATCAAACCATTCTGAACACCTACGAACTCAACAGGAGATCCAAGATAAGAATAATAACAACACTCTGAACAGAAAAGTGACCACTTTCTGGAAGGTAGGACGTTGCGGAGAAGTGAATCCGAGGCGATATTCGGGAGGATAGACGGCGGGGGAGGGGGCCTCCGTCGGCCGCTTCTGGCAAGTGATAGAGCCGCGGAGCACAAAATCGGACCTTTTAGAAGTTGGCTCCGCTGAGGGACGTCGCTCCGGTGGCTAAGCGGGGGGTGGAATCCTCCTGGGACAGTGTGGTCTCAGCACCCTCGGGGGTCACAGAAAGACCGGGGGTGCCTGAGTGCGCCAGAGCTCCCAGGTATCGGAGCGGGGACGCCGGCTGCAGAGACGGAGCCGAGGGGCGGGCTCTCAGCTCGGGGTGGCCATAAACTGTGATCCGCGGCCCAGTCGGGCCACTGCTCCTCCAGCAGGGACCCAACAAGCGGCAGAGCCGGGGAGACTCCCCTTCCTCCCCCCGGGAGGAGCGGCGCGGGAGCGCACTGCAGGGATCTGCTGGGTTTGGAGACTCCACACGGGGTCGGGTGCCAGAGATAGAAACGCTCGGTCACAGGCCGGGTGAGCACGGAGTGCGGCCGGAGACCGGGGACACGGGAGTGACTGCTTTTCTCTGGGGGCGCACTGAGGAGCGGGGCCCCGAGTTCTCAGCTCCTCCGGGCGGAGATTGGGAGGCCACCATTTTCACCCTGGTCCTCCAAAGCTGTACTGAGAGCTTGCAGGAAACAAAAGCTCCTGAGAGCAAACCCGAGCAGCTTGCTTAGCCGGGACTCAAGGGCGGGGCAATTCCGCCTCCGGCAAAGACCTTTGGGAACCACGGCAACAGGCCCCTCCCCCAGATCAGCACGAACAGCCAGCAAGCCAAAACCAAGTTTACCGATCAAGGAGAACGGGAGAACTCCAGCGCTAGGGGAATACTGCCCATAGAATTCATGGCTTGTTTACCATAATTCATTAGTTTTTCAAAGTTAATTTTTTTAACTGTTTTTTTTCCAATTTTTCTTTTTCCCTTTTTCAACCAACATCTTATCAATCTCTTTTTTAAAAAAAACATTTTTTATTTTTCATTTTTAGAGTCATATTTTTATCCCTTCATAGTAGTTACCCTTATTTTTGGCATATATATATAAGTTGTTCTCTCTTTAAAATTTTGAGATACAATTTCTTCTAACAGATCAAAATATACCCTAAATCACTAGTGTATGGCTTTGTTCTAGTCTCCTGCCTGATCACATTCTCTCCCTTTTTTTTTCTTTT